GGTGAGCCTTGGCCCTGGCGGTGCCCTTGGTCCCCTTTCGCCCTGTGATCCCCCCGTGTCCCGGTCCCGCGGCCCCCGGCCTGGTCCTCCCCGCCTGAGGCCTCGCCGCTGCCCTGCGAACCCCGTCCCCTGTCCCCGCTCCTTTCCTCACATTCTGGGCTTTATCCCATGTCCCGTGTCCCGTCCCCCATCCGCGTCCCCGGTGTTGCTCACCCCGCCGTGGCCGTGTTCCCGGCTCCAGCTCTGAGCCCCTGGCCCGCATCTCTGCCCCCCACCGCGTCCCCTGTCGTGACTGCTCCCTTGTCCCCGCAGCTATGAAGTCCAAGGGCAAGAACGTGCAGAAGGAAGAGATAAAGGGGCCAGAGGTGTGCACGGACCCCACCATGCTCGCCACCCATGCCATGGGCGTCAATTACTTCAAGGACGGCCCGGAGGTGGCCCTGAAGCCCGACTCTGAGTACCCCGACTGGTAGGTGGTGCTTGGTTCCCCTCGCTGTGTGCAGGGGATGTCTCTCCTGGGGTTCCTGTCCCTGCAGAGGCACCAACCCAGAGGCACAGATGGGCATAGGAGAGGCAGAGAGGAGGAAAACGGCCGCTCTGCAGCCCAGAGACCTTCCCCAAGGGCCAGGGGAGGAGCGCAGGCTGCACTGGGGATGCGGTGGGTGAGGGATCTGCATCCCCTGGTCACACACTTCCATTGCTCTGTCCAGTGCTTGTCCCTTTGCCCTCCCTGCTGCAGCCTTACATCCTCTCTGTTCTCCCCCAGGCTGTTTAAGATTCATCTCGGGCCACCAAAGAAGCTGGAGGAGATGGATCCCGACTCAATTCAGTATTGGAGACGCCTGCGAAAGTACAACACATGGCACCGTAACCGGCTCAAGAAGGGCAAGAAGTTTTAGGTGCTACAGAGCTCAGGGTGCGGTGGCCATCCTGAGTGCTGGGGCACAGGGACCAGCTGCCACTTTTGGTCTCTTCTTGCTGTAAACAAGTAATAAATCTCCAGTGAGGCTGATACCTGTTACAGAGGCTGTGGCAAACCCAGGCCCTTGGCAAGCTCAGTGTGGTTCCCTCTCCTGCCAGGGGCTGGTGACAGGCTGAGCCAACAGAAACCACAAGTTTTTGATGTATTTGCTAAAAGAGAAACTCAATTTTTTTGCTCACAGAAGGAGCCTGTGCCACCAAATGGGTCCTGCTCCCTGATCTGTCACAGTTGGCACTGCAATGGCTGGAGCCTAAGGGCCTGTGGAGGTGGAGTGGTTGTGGGTTTGGGGTGGGGAATCACTCCACTGCCATTGCTGTGTCCTCTGAGCAGCTGGAGCTCCTGGAGAGTGGGAGGATGGGACCTGGCTCTTGTGGTGCTGCGGGGGCAGTGGCAAGGTGAGGGGGAACGTGGTGGCCCCTCACAGCGCCGTCCCTGTGCTACATTCCTGCATCCTGCTCCAGCAGCAGGGGAGTGGCAGCTGCTGGGACACCCGGGGTCCTAGCTTGGCTGGGCTGTATGGTGAGGGCAGGGTCTTCCCCACAGCAACAGGGACCCAACTGCCCCGTCCCCGTGTGTACTCAGCTGGCTTCAGCCTAGCAGAGCCCAGCAGCTTCCCCTGGGCCTCGGTCCTGCCTGTGTGTTGAGCTTCCCTGTGAGAGGTGCCCCATCCCCTTGGTTCCTCTCCATCCTGGACTCGCTGCCCTGCAGCTCTTGCCTGGCCTTGAGCTGGGCTGTATGGGGACAAAGCAGCCACCTGCGGGGTCCTCCTGCAGCGAGGAAGGGGCGATGGAGCCACTGCCCAGCCCAGCAGCATCCTCAGTGCCCCACGCCCTGCAGCAGCAACTGGGGGCTGGGAGAAAGGCTGCGGCCCCGGCCGCGCAGCACAGGAAGCCACAGAGGAAAGCAGAAGTGCTGTGCTGCAGCACGGGGGGGGCTGGGGGAGATTTTGGGTTGAAACTTCGTTTCCTCTGTGTGGAGCTCAGTGTGCACCCTCGGAGCTGACGGGGCTCAGGCCGGGCTGTACCTCACGGTGAGTGCCCTGTCCCCCCCATGCCCATCCTGCAGCTTGCCCTCCCCTTGCCCCCCTTAGCGCATCCACCCCCCTGAATCCAGCAGCAGGTGAACAGAGGGGGCACCCAAATCCCTGCCCTCTGTCTCAGATTCCCCCTGTTCAGGCAAGTGTCACCCAACTGCTGTGGACAGCTTGGTCCTGGGGACAAGCATCCACCTGGGGTGGGTGTTGGGGAGGGACCTTTGGGGAGGAGGAGGGATCCTGTCCCTGAGTGTTGTCCCCATCCAGGGTCATTCATGCCATGGTCCCCTTGCTGCCAAAGCCTTTGCCAGGGTCAAGGGCAGCTGAGGGGCGTCCCAGCCCCAGGACCCCCATGTACCCTGCCCTAAATTCTTCTGCAGACTCCTTTCGGCTGGACAGGGCTCATGCTGGCCCTGGAGCCTCCACCCAGGGGCCTGGTGATGGCAGGGGAGCTGCTGCTGCCCCACTGGTCTATCTACCAGAAAGGAGAAGGGTCCCTGAGCTCAGCCCTCTGTGATGGGCCCCAGTCTCTGTGTCCCCCAAAGGGTTGGGGAAGGTGACAGGGGACATCCCCTCTTTCCAGTTCCTTGAACCCCATCTGGTGAAGGTCCCTGTCCTGGGGCCAGGTTCACATGACCCTCACTCTTTGCCCAAGGCTGGGGGGTGAGCAGAGTCCCCCATGCTGCTGTCATGGCTCTTGTCCTCCAGGTGTGGAGGGCGAACCCCTGTCACCCACTGACAGCTTGTCCACTTAGTGTCCCCAGACAGGTGGCAGCCGGGCTGGCACAGGATGGGGGACTGGAGCATGCCCATCGGCTTGCTGGGCGAGGAGGTGGTGGCTCGGCTCTGCGAGCTCCTGGATAACGCTGGCCGGGGCTGGCGCAAGCTGGCTGAGGTGGCTGGGGCGGAGAAGCGCTTCAAGTGCAGGTGAGGGTGGGGGCACATCTCCAGGGGTCCCTGGCGAGGGTCCCTATCTTCCCCTTGGAGGGGTGGTCTGCGGCACTGAACGCTGTGGGTGCCTTGCAGCGCGGAGGAGCTGGAGATGTGCTCACTGAAGGTGCTAGAGCCCCGTGGCAGCCCCACACAGTGCCTCCTGCAGCTTCTGGCCGAGCGTGACTGCACCCTCAAGTACCTGCTGGGCTGCCTGGAGAGGATGGGGCATGCACAGGCCTGCCAGGTCCTCAGCAGCGCGGGGCGGGGAAGA